AGATCTTGAATTCGGCCAAATTCTTGAATTCAGAATTTTAGAAAGCTAAGATCTTGAAATCGGCCCAAATCTTGAATTCAGGATTTTGGAATGCTACCATCTTAAAATCGGGCCAAATCTTCAAATTAGGATTTTGGAAAGCTAAGATTTTGAAATCGGCCGAACTCTTGAATTCAGGATTTTGGAAAGCTAAGATATTGAAATTACCCAAAAACTTGAATTTAGGATGTTGAAAAGCTAAGATCTTGAAATCGCCCAAAATCTTGAATTCAGGATTTGGGAAGCTAAGATCTTTATATCGCCCAAGATCTTGAAATGAGGTTTTTAAAAGGTAAGATCTTCAAATCGGCCAAAATCTTTAATTCACGATTTTACAAAGGTAAAATCTTCAAATCGGCCAAAATCTTGAATTCAGGATTTTGGAAAGCTAAGATCTTAAAATCGGCTACAATCTTCAATTCACGATCTTGGAAAGGTTAAATCTTCAAATCGGCCAAAATCTTGAATTCAAGATTTTGGAAAGCTAAAATCTTGAAATCCGCCAAAGTCTTAAATTCACGATTTTGGAAAGCTAAAATCTTGAAATCGGCCAAAATCTTGAATTTAGGAATTTGGAAATGTAAAATCTTGAAATCGGGCAAAATCTTGAATTCAGGATTTTAGAAAACTAAGATCTTCAAATCGGCCAAAAACTTGAATTCATGTTTTCGGAAAGCTAAGATCTTGAAATCACCCAAAATCTTAAATTCACGGTTCAGGAAAGCTAAAATCTTGAAATCGACCAGAATCTTGAATTCAGGATTTTGAAAAGCTAAGATCTTGAAATCAGCGAAAATCTTAAATTCACGGTTCAGGAAAGGTAAAATCTTGGAATCTGCCAAAATCTTGAATTTAGGATTTTGGAAAGCTAAGATCTAGAAATCTTCCAAAATCTTTAATTTAGGATTTTGGAAAGCTAAAATGTTGAAATCGGCCAGAATCTTGAGATCAGGATTTTGGAAATCTAAGATCTTTAAATTAGCCAAAATCTTGAATTCAGAATTTTGGAAAGCTCAGCTCTTGAAATCGGCCAAGATCTGGAATTCAGGATTTTGGAAAGCTAAGATCTTAAATTTAGCCAAAATCTTGAATTCAGGATTTTGGAAAGCTAAGATCTTGAAATCAGCCAAAATCTTGAATTCAGGATTTTTCAAAGCTAAGATCTTGAAGTCGGCCCAAATCTTGAATTCAGCATTTTGGAAAGGTAAAATCTTGAAATCGGCTAAAATCTTTAATTCAGGATTTAAGAAAGCTAAAATCTTGAAATCGGGCAAAGACTTGAATTTCTGATTTTGGAAACCTAAAATCTTGAAATGGGCCAAAATCTTGAATTGAGGATTTTGGAAAGCTAAGATATTAAAATCGGCAGAAAACTTGAATTCACGATTTTGAAAAGCGAAGATCTTGAAATCGCCCAAAATCTTGAATTCAGGATTTGGAAAGCTAAGACCTTTAAATCGGGCAATATCTTGAATTCAGGATTTTGGAAAGTTAAAATCTTGAATTCGGCTAAAATCTTGAATTCAGGATTTTGGAAAGCTAAAATCTTGACATCCGCCAAAGTCTTGATTTCAGGATTCTGAAAAGCTAAAATCTTGAAATCGGCCTAAATGTTGAATTCAGGATTTTGGAAAGCTAAGACTTGAAATCAGGCCAAATCTTCAAGTTAGCATTTTGGAAAGCTAAGATTTTGAAATCGGCCAAACTCTTGAATTCACGATTTTAGAAAGGTAAAATATTCAAATCGGCCAAAATCTTAAAATAAGGATTTTAGAAAGCTAAAATCTTAAAAAATGAGCCAGAATCTTAAATTCAGCATTTTGGAAAGCTAGGATCTTGACATCGGCCAAATACTTAAATTCGGGGTTCTGGAAAGGTAAAATCTTGGAATCCGCCAAAATCTTGAATTAGGATTTTGGAAAGCTAAGATCTAGAAAAAGGCCAAAATCTTGAATTCACGATTTTGGAAAGCTAAGATCTTGAAATCGGCCAAAATCTTGAATTTAGGATTTTGGAAAGCTAAAATCTTGAAATCGGCTAAAATCTTGAATTTAGGATTTTAAAAGCCAGGATCTTGAAATCGGCCAAAATCTTGAATTTAGGATTGTGGTAAGCTAAAATGTTGAAATCGGCCAAATTCATGAATTCCCGATTTTGGAAAGCTTAAATCTCCAAATCGGCCAAAATCTTGAATTCAAGATTTTGAAAAGCTAAGATCTTAAAATCGGACAAAATCTTAAATTCACGAGTTTGGAAAGATAAAATCTTTAAATCGGCAAAAATGTTTAATTCTAGATTTTGGAAAGCTAAAATCTTCAAAGCAGCCAAAATCTTAAATTCACGATTTTGGAAAGCTAAAATCTCGAAATCGGCCAAAGTCATGAATTCTGGATTTTGGAAAGCTTAAATGTCCAAATCGGCCGAAATCTTGAATTCTGGATTTGGGAAAGGAGAGATCTTGAAATCGACCAAAATCTTGAATTCAGGATTTTGCAAAGCTAAGATCTTCAATTCGGCCAAAATCTTGAATTCAGAATTTTGGAAAGCTAAAATCTTCAAAGCAGCCAAAATCTTGAATTCAGGATTTTGGAAAGCTATAATGTTGAAATCGGCCGAAATCATGAATTCTGGATTTTGGAAAGCTTAAATCTCAAAAACGGCTAAAATCTTGAATTCTGGATATGGGAAAGCTAACATCTTGAAATTGGCCTAAGTCTTGAATTCAGGATTTTTGAAAGCTTAAATCTCGAAATCGGTTAAAATCTTGAAATCGGCCAAGATCTTGAATTCAGGATTTTGAAAAACTAAGATCTTGTAATCGGCTAAAATCTTGTATTCACGGTTTTTGAAAGGTAAAATCTAAAAATCGGCCAAAATGCTCAATTTAGGATTTCGGAAAGGTAAAATCTTGAAATCGGCCAAAATCTTGAATTTAGGATATTGGAAATCTAAGATCTTCACATCGACTAAAATCTTGAATTCAGGATTTTTGAAACCTAAAATCTTGAAATCGGCACAAATCTTGAATTCAGGACTTTAAAAAAGTAAGATGTTGAAATCGGCGCAAATCTTCAACTCAGGATTTTGGAAAGCTAAGATCTTGAAATCGGCCAAAATCTCGAATTCAGGATTTTGGAAAGCTAAGAACTTGAGATCGGCCAAAACCTTGAAAACAAGATTTTGAAAAGCTAAGATCTTAAAATCGCCCAAAATCTTAAATTGAGGATTTTGGAAAGCTAAGATCTTAAAATCGGACAAAATCTTGAATTCACGATCTTGGAAAGGTAAAATCTTCAAATCGGCCAAAATCTTCAATTCTAGATTTTGGAAAGCTAAAATCTTGAAATGAGCCAAAATCTTAAATTCACGATTTAGGAAAGCTAAAATCTTGAAATCGGCCAAAATCTTAAATTTAGGATTTTGGAAAGCTAAGATCTTGAAAACGGCCAAAATCTTGAGTTCAGGATTTTAGAATGCTAAGATCTTGAAATCGGCCAAAATGTTGAATTCAGGGTTTTGGAAAGTTAAGATCTTAAAATCGGCCAAAATCTTGAATTCAGGATTTTGAAAAGCTAAGATCTTGAAATCGGCCAAAATCCTGAATTCAGGATTTTGGAAAGCTAAGATCTTGAAATCGGCCAAAATCTTGAATTCAGGATTTTGAAAAGCTAAGATCTTGAAATCGGCGAAAATCTTGAATTCAGGATTTTAAAAACTAAGATCTTGAAATCGGCCAAAATCTTGAATTCAGGATTTTGAAAAGCTAAGATCTTGAAATCGGCCAAAATCCTGAATTCAGGATTTTGGAAAGCTAAGATCTTGAAATCGGCCAAAATCTTGAATTCAGGATTTTGAAAAGCTAAGATCTTGAAATCGGCGAAAATCTTGAATTCAGGATTTTAAAAACTAAGATCTTGAAATCGGCCAAAATCTTGAATTCAGGATTTTGAAAAGCTAAGATCTTGAAATCGGCCAAAATCCTGAATTCAGGATTTTGGAAAGCTAAGATCTTGAAATCGGCCAAAATCTTGAATTCAGGATTTTGGATAGCTAAAATCTTGAAATCGGTCAAAATCTTGAATTCAGGATTTTGAAAAGCTAAGATCTTGAAATCGGCGAAAATCTTGAATTCAGGATTTTAAAAACTAAGATCTTGAAATCGGCCAAAATCTTGAATTCAGGATTTTGGAAAGCTAAAATCCTAAACCCTGCTAAAATCTTGAATTCAGGATTTTGGAAAGCTAAGATCTTGAAATCGTCAGATTTTGGAAAGCTAAAATCTTGAAATCGGCTAAAATCTTGAATTCAGGATTTTAAAAACTAAGATCTTGAAATCGGCCAAAATCTTGAATTCAGGATTTTGGAAAGCTAAAATCCTAAACTCTGCTAAAATCTTGAATTCAGGATTTTCGAAAGCTAAGATCTTGAAATCGGCCAAAATCTTGACTTCAAGCTTTTGGAAAGCTAAGATCTTGAATTCGGCCAAAATCTTGAATTCAGCATTTTGGAAAACTAAGATCTTGACATCGGCCAAAATCTTAAATTCAGGGTTCTGGAAAGGAAAAATCTTGGAATCCGCCAAAATCTTGAATTTAGGATTTTGCAAAGCTAAGATCTAGAAAAAGGCCAAAATCTTAAATACAGGATTTTGGAAAGCTAAAATATTGCAATCGGCCAAAATCATGAATTCAGGATATTGGAAAGCTAAGATCTTGACATCGGCCAAAATCTTCAATTCGAGATTTTTGAAAGCTTAAATCTTGAAATCGGCCGAAATCTGGAATTCAGGATTTTTGAAAGCTAAAATCTTGAGATCGTCAGAAATCTTGAATTCAGTATTTTGAAAGGCTAAGATCTTGAAATTGGCCAAGATCTTGAATTCAACATTTTGGAAAGCTAATATCTTGAAGTCGGGCTAAATCTTTAATTCAGGACTTTGGAAAGCTGACAATTTCAAATCGGCCAAAGTCTTGAATTCAGGATTTTGGAAAGCTAAGATATTGAAATCGGCCAAAAATCTTGAATTCACGATTTTCGAAAGGTAAAATCTTCAAATCGGCCAAAATCTTGAATTCACGATTTTCGCAAGCTAAGATCTTCAAATCGTCCAACAATCTTAAATTAAGGATTTTTGAAAGCTAAAATCTTGAAATCGGCCAAAATCTTAAATTCATCATTTTGTAAAGCTAAGATCTGCACATCGGCCAAAAACTTAAATTCGGGGTTCTGGAAAGGTAAAATCTTGGAATCCGCCAAAATCTTGAATTTAGCATTTTGGAAAGCTAAGATCTTGAAATCGCCCAAAATCTTGAATGGAGGATTTTGGAAAGCTAAAATGTTGAAATCGGCCACAATCATGAATTCTGGATTTTGGAAAGCTTAAATCTCGTAATCGGCTAAAATCTTGAATTCAGGATTTGGGGAAGCTAAGATCTTGAAATCGGCCTAAGTCTTGAATACAGGATTTTGGAAAGCTTAAATCTTGAAATCGGCTAAAATCTTCAATCTAGGATTTTGGAAAGCTAAGATCTTGAAATCGGCCAAAATCTTGATTTCAGGATTTTGGAAAGGTAAAATCTTCAATTCGGCTAAAATCCTTTATTCAGGATTTTAAAAAGGTGAAATCTTGAAATCGGCCAAAACCCTTCTTTTTAGCATTTTGGAAAGCTACAATCATGAAATTCGTCAAATTCTTAAATACAGGATTTTGGAAAGCTAGAATCTTGAAATCGGCAAAATCTTTAATTCACGGTTTTGTAAAGCTTTAATACTGATTTCAGCCAAAATGTTGAATTTGGGATTATGGAAAGCTAAAATCTTGAAATCGGCAAAATCTTTAATTCACGGTTTTGTAAAGCTTTAATACTGATTTCAGCCAAAATGTTGAATTTGGGATTATGGGAAGCTAAAATCTTGAAATCGGCAAAATCTTCAATTCAGAATTTTGGAAAGCTAAAATCTTGAAATTAGCGAAAATCTTGTATTCGGGATTTTGCAAAGCCAAAATCTTGAAATCGGCCAAAATCTTGTATTCAGGGTTTTGGAAAACCAAAATCTTGAGTTCAGGATTTTGAAAAGCTAAGATCTTAAAAACGGCCAGTAATTTAAATTTAACATTTTGGAAAGCTAAAATCTTGAAATGGGTCAAAATCTTGAGTTCGGGATTTTGGAAAGCTAAAATCCTAAAAACGGCCAAAATTTTGAGTTTAGGATTTATGAAAGCTTAAATCTTGAAAACGGCCAATATCTTAAATTCAAGATTTTGGAAAGCTAAAATCTTGAAATCGGCCAAAATCTTGAATTTAGGATTTTGAAAAACTAAAATCTTGAAATGGGCCAGAATCTTTAATTCAGGATTTTGTAAAGCTAAAATCTTGAAATCGGCCAAAATCGAGAATCCAGGATTTGGAAAGCTAAAATCTTGAAATCGGCCAAAATCTTGAATTCAAGATTTTGGAAAGCTAAAATCTTGAATTCAGGATTTTGGAAAGCTAAAATATTGAAATCGGCCAAAATCTTGAATTCAGGATTTAGGAAAGCTAAAATCTTGAAATCGGCCAAAATCTTGAATTTACTTTGTGATTGTAACTTAGTGATTTTGTAGGTAGATTTTACAAAAAGAGGCGGCGATTAAGTTGGCGCACGCATTGGTGTAGTCTAACCCAGTGATGCTGTAGGTAAAGTTTATAACCATAGGCCGCGCTTAAGGTGGCGTACCCATAAGTGTAGTGTAATTTAGTTCCTTTGTAGGTAGAGCAAACAAAAATAGAGTGCACTTAAGATTACACACCCATTTGTGTAGTGTAACTCAATGATTCTTTAGGTCGAGCTGCCAATTATAGGCTGCACTTAAGGTGGCGCAGCCATATGTATGGTGTAACCCAGTAATACTGTATGTAGAGCTTACAAACATAGGCCCCACTTAAGGTTGGACACTCGTAAGTTTCGTGTTTATGTAGGTAGAGCTTTCAAACATAGGCTGCACTTAAGGTAACGCACTTATAAGTGTAGTGTAAAACAACGATTCTGTTCGTAGAGCTAACAAACTGAGGTTGCACTTAAGGTTGGAAAACCATACGTGTAGTGTAACCTATTGACTCGGTAGGTAGAGGTTACAAACAAAGGCTGCACTATAGGTGGAGCATCCATAGGTGTCGTGGAAATAAGTGATTGTTTAAGTAGAGCTTACAAACATAGGCTGCACTTAAGGATGGACACCCGTACTTGCAGTGCAACTAAGTAAATCTGTAGGTAGCATTTACAAACAGAGGTAGCACTTATGGTTGCGCACCCATTAGTGTAGTGTAACCCAGTGATATTGTACATAAAGCATACAAACATGGGCAGCATTTAAGGTGGCGCACTAATAAGTTTATTTTAACGCAGTGATCCTTTAGGAAGAGCTTGCAAACATAGGTTGCACTAAGAGGGGCACCAATAAGTGTATTCTGTAGGTAAAGCTTAGCAGAGGTGGAGGCCGAGACACGTAGCCATGTAGAGGCCAAGACAGTTGTCGACACTCTCGCTGACAGAGTAGCAGAGGCGGAGGTGGAGAAACTTGGGAACACACTGGACGATGTGGAGGCCGAAGCAGTGGTCGACACGCTGGATAACACGAGCTAGCAAGTGCAGACCGAAAAATTTACGATACACTAGGCGATTTGAAGGCCGAGGCACTATTGGACACAAAGGCAGACACGCTGCCAGAGGTGGAGGACGAGACACTTGGTGACACACGGAGCGATATGGAGGCCAAGTTACTGATCGACAGTCTGGCTGACACAGTAGCAGAGGTGGAGGCGGAGATACTTGGCAACACACTAACCTATTAAGAGGCCAAGATACTGGTCAACAGTGTGGCTGAATCAGTAGCAAAAGTGGAGGCCGAGAACCTTGGCTACACGTTGGGCGATGTCAAGGTCCTCACGCTGGTTGACGCGGTAGCCAAGGTGGAGGCCAAGACATTTGGTGACTTAAAATGCAATGACAGGGCCGAGACACTGGAGGACACGCTGGCTGAAAAACTAGCAGAAGGTCAGTTTAAGGTACTAGTCTACACACTTGCTGCCAATCTAGCAAAAGTAAAGACCCATACACTTGGCGTTCGAGACATTGGGTAATATGGAACAATATGGCTGACAAGCTAGCATAGGTAGAGGTCGGGTCTGTTGGTGACACACTGGGTAATGTGAAGCTTAATGCGCTGGTCCACACGCTGGCAAACACGCTAAAAAAGGTCAACGGCAAGAAACTAGCGACACACTGCGCGAGGCGGAGGCTAACACACTGCTCGACAAGCTGGTTAACACACTAGCAGAAGTGCAGTCTGACACACTGGGCGATGTTGGAGCCGAGGAGGTTGTCGACTCGCTGGCTGACACGCTAGCAGAAGTAGAGGATGAGATAGTTGGCGACACAATGGACGATGTGGAGTCTGAAGCACTGCTAGACACACTGGCAAACACGGTAAAGTTGTGGAGAGCGAGACACTTCGCGAGAGACTGGGCGATAAGGCACTGGTCAACACGGTTGGATTCAAGGGCTAAAACGCTACAAGAGGTTGAGAGGAAGACACATGACAACATACTGGATGATTTGGACGCCGAAGCGGTGGTCGACAACCTGGCTAACACGCTTGCAACTTCAGACAGAGGCAGTTGACGATACTCTGAGCGATCTGGAGGCAGATGAGGCACAGTTAGACACGGTGGCTGAAAAGCTTGCAGAGGTGAAAGACGTGACACAGACTGATGCACTTGTAGTGGCGCTGACTGCCAAGCTAGCAGAGGTGTACACCAAGGCATTGGTCAATACGGTGGCTAACACTGTACCAAAAGTAAAGGCTCTCACATTTGGCGACACGTTAGTTGATTTAAAAGCTGAGGCAACAAACTGGGCGATCTGATCGCCTAGGCACTGGTCGTCTCGATAGCTGACACGCTAGCCGACGAGCCCTAGACGTTTGGTTAATTAATGGGGCATGCAGAGTGACTGCTCGACACTCCTGCTGACAGTCTAGCAGAGATTGAAACTGTTACAGTTTCCATGTAGAGCCCTATGTTTTGACCATAGCGCTGGCCGACAGGCTAGACAAATTGGAGGCGGAGAAACATGTTGGGGCAATGGGCGATTTGAAATCCGAGACGCTAGACTACACGCTGGTTGGAAGAGTAGGGGCATAGACAATTTTAACACACTGCTTGATGTCAAGGCGGACCCACTGGTCAACACGCTGGCCGCCGCACTAAGGCCAAGACACTGGCGTAAAGGCCAAGACACTGGTCGACACCCTGCCTGACACAGTAGCAGAGCTGGAAGCCGAGAGATACTATGCTAAGTGAAAGGCAAAGCACTGGTCGACACGTAGCCTGAAAGGACAGCAAAAAAAGGCAGAGACACCTGGGTAGAGATTGGGCGACGTGGAGGCCAAGGCACTNTGACTTAAAATGCAATGACAGGGCCGAGACACTGGAGGACACGCTGGCTGAAAAACTAGCAGAAGGTCAGTTTAAGGTACTAGTCT